GCGATGCACTTGTTTCTAATAGCTTCTTGTTACTACTAGTAAGGCACTTGTTACCAGCCAGGGTGAGGACTACGTGACTTTCTGTTGCTTCGAGAACCAAGTTCCACCATTAAGACCTGAAGCGACCACTTAGACTTAGCTCGGTCTCTTCTCAAAGATTTGTGAATCATCCTTTCCATTCCTTTCCATGAAATGTCCCAGAAGAAGCACGGAAAAGCCAATCAAAGCCGCCAAAAGGAACACGGTCGTGAACAATAGATTCAAAAAAGCAGTACAAAACGAAAGACAACATGCACCTTCGGAGACAAAGGCAATTTGAGAAGTTCATCTGTATGAACCGCAAATCCCTCACATGAGGGACCTCCACATTGCTCCAATTGCTCTTCAAATATGATCCTCACTGTCGATGTAATGATGTCGCCCGCAACATGCACACCCTTTTTGAGGTGTCAATGTTATCTTTCGTGTCCCTTCTAAGAAAACCAAAATTTTGGAGTGTATGCATTTGTATAAGTCTGACTCACAGAACAAGACAGTGCTTCAATGCACGTGAGACTCAGAGGTTCCTGCCCGAAGTAAGCTATACTACTTCTCTGCTTCAATTCAAAAGCTCTTGAACCTGCCTTTCTCCATCCTAATGCAGCAAACGTCACATACTGTCGCATCATTTCCAAGTTTCCCTTGTGTCGCATCGTCTGCACCAGGCTCCAAATGTGCCACTTCTTTGCGTTCGCCATGGAACCATGTGCGGCATTCAAGAAACAGCACCAGCTTCAGGAAACAACAGCGCCACTTTCTTGTGGCCCCCGCTCGCTGTTCAACAATCCGGACTTACTGCATTCTGGTCAGCACGATCCTGTACGATGCTGCCGAACGCAAACAAGCGCTCTCTTCCGTTTCCGGCGTGCTGACCAACTGCCCCTGGCACGTTCTGGTTAGCAAAAGCATGCAACAACAAGCGCACCACTTCAAAATGGCCCTCCGCAGCTGACAAATGCAAAGCTGTCAAGCAAACCTGAATTCCTGCACTGACATCAGCGTGGGCCTCAAGCAAACACTGAAACACCTCTGAGGGACGCTCAGCAAATGCGCCATGCTAAGCTGTTAAACCCTCCAACTTTCACACATCCGTACTAGATACTTTCAATTGTCCTTTCTGGTCAGCAGCATGTATATAAAGAGTTTCCAGTCGGCACCTCTGACATTGAGGCTCTGTGATCTTTCAACAGGGTGTTTAGCCTCTTGAAGACAGGATGGACCAACCGCACGGCATATCATCCTGCAACTCCCATCCCGAGTGGAAACGTCAAAGCCTTGAGGATCCGATCTTAACTAACGCCTTGCTTCAAATCCAGTGCTCACATGGTCCAGTGCTCACCATCGCATTAAGCTCATCCTCAGAAAAAGACTGTAACTTGTTGCTCCTGAAACCCGCTCAATCGACGTTTTGGACGATGCCCAAAGCCGCTGCGACGACAATCCGGTGCAAAAAGAGCCTATCCAGTGCGACCAAAAGCTGCAGAAGACACATACGATGAAATCGGAGGAAGTCTGTCTCGTGGCCATTTTGTGGGGGAGGTTCAGGTTCTGCTTCACTATCCATCTGGGTGTGTATGTCACTCTTATTCAATGAAGAGACCTCGCTGGCCCCAATGAGTTGACTGGCCTGTGTTCATCTATTTTCCTTCTCCTACGGGACTTTGCTGGGTCTTCCTACTTCAACATACACCCCTGGGCCCTCCATGTGCTCTTCTCGAATGAAACGCCAAAAGCTCGCCAAAGTTCGCGGCCCCATTGGGCCCCACGCCTTCAAGCTTGGAGGTGAATTGCGCCCCACACCTCGACCACGGGCCCCAGATCCAGTGGCATTTAGGACAACTCAACAGGAAGATAGGGCGATGATGGAAAGTGCTGAAGATTGAAGAGTTCCATCCTAGAAGAAATCTTAGAAGAAGGATGCTTCAGGTACTCACTCCCTCAATTTCCCTGGAACAACCTTATTCCGTCTGTTGGATTCTAGTGGGGAAACCTATCCCAAACAGGCTTAAAGGTTATGCTCTGACTGCGTAGGTGTAGCTTCCTTCAACCGTCCAACTATCAAGTTCAAATTCTGGCCTTCTTCAGACCAAGAGGGGCCATCCTTCCAGCTGGAAAGAGAGGGTTTTGACCCATAAGTCGCATAAGCATGCCTCAAGCCAACTCCCAACCTCTGTTGATAATATCCCAATTCTGCAATATTGCATCAACAATGCCTCGGAAGATATGCCAACCTCTAGGTGGCTTGCATCTAGATTCTAGATGGATTTGATTGGATACTCTTGGCTCGCGATAAGATGACCCTGTCGGAACGGCTGTGGCAGCCTGTGGCATCATTCCGCAATCGCGGCTGAGTGCGGCGCTTCATCTTCAGCTTGGCGATCATGCCTTGTGGTGCATGTTGAGCGGCGGGTGGAAGTCAAGCGCCGCGCTTGCCACACCGCGCGAAGTGTAGTGAGACCGTGAGACCCCGAAGTTCACAACTTGGAAGGACGGCGAATCCAAAGATCCGATGACTAGCATTCTTGCTAGGAGCAAGGAGTAGCGATGCCCGGGGTCCTAGTAGCGATGCCCTTTGCTACTAGTAGCTTCTTGTTACTAGTAGCGTTCTTGCTCCTAGTAGTAAGGCCAGGAGCCCCTAGTAGCGTCCTTGCTCCTAGTAGCGATGCCCTTTGCTACCATTCTTGCTTACATTATTGCATAGATCAAGTTGTTGATGCCGGTCTTCCAGTCTTCAAATCATTTGTGAGAACCCGACTCGCCTGAAAAACCTCTGGGTGCCACACTCTTCTCCGCATCTTCCGAGGCAGAGGTCTCGTACAGAAGGCGCTTCGAGAGCTGATTCCTCGAAGAGTCCAGAGATGTCTGAGGGTTTTGTCAACCCAAAAAAGATTGTGTTCGAGGATTGAAGACCACCAGGATCTGTCGTCATTTTTCTCAGAAATGCACGCCATATCTAACACCACTCGGAAGGAGGGAAAATCGACCAGGCTGCAAATCAAAAGAAGCACGTCCAAATCCTTCTATGGAATCAAAGCACGAATGAATTCGAAGTTCTGTTGAATTAGCACCACAACTGAGATGGCTTCTGAATCCGTATGGTGCCGGGTTCAGTTCCAACCGTTCATGGTGCAGGGAAAGAGCCAAGCCAAAGGGGTTCTTAGCGAGGTTGATTACCCAGCCTCGCCAAACTGAAAATATAACAAGTCAAAAGCTCCTCATCCACCTATTGACCTATTAATTATTGACCCCTTCGAGTGCGTTACCCACAATACTGCGCAGCTACTTGACTTAGAGTGTAAACTTCATCTTCACCCCATGTCCCATTGTGGTCTATTCATTGTCAAACTCCTGGCTTCAGCCTCAGCCCATTTGATGGGCAGTTCTCTGTCAACCCTCGACTTGCCCCACCTTGTGGGGTACTGGAGGGAAATGATTGTGAAAAGACATATAGCAAAACTGCGCACCCCAACCACACATGGTTGAATCCAAGTGGCTCAAATGACATGAACTAGTCAGTTAAAACTTAATTTGCTTGCGTGAGACCCCACAGTGGTATCGAAAAAACGTCCAAGATCGAGAGGTGCGTACTACAGTAGAATCTACAGTAGTTTCTTCACTTGCCGTTGGTAACATATGTAGTCCTAGGTCTTTCCCCAGTGAAGAGCTTCTTGGAAACAAAACTCAAGAAAAACTCCTTGGAAGACTTGAAACATCTGGAAACCATGAGAGACGTCCTGACAGCTGTTGGCGATCAACCAACGGTAGGACCAACGGTCGACGATCGAGCCAATGGCCGCCGCCCCATGGCCTATAGATCTCGGCGAAGAGATCCTTGTCACTGAGGAAGGAGAAGAGCTCCACCTGGGCGCTCTGCGTGTTGCCGGCGGAACACCGCGGCGGAACGAGGTAAGCACCCCAAATACGTCCACACACCCTTGGAGTTACAGGTAATGCTCATGGTAATGCTCATGGACCGGATCAGAATTTTGTATTTTGAGTCTGTTTCAGCCATTTGTTTGTCCTCAAAAGGATCCTTTTGGATCCAAGAAAGGCTCACATTGATGGAGTTCAAGGAGCTTTACCCTTGGGTCCTCTTCTTTTGGACCTTGATCGCTGGGAGCCGCGTCTCCAAAGGTCCAGTGGGCCTTGCAAGGCGGCTCTCCAGAGCCGCCAAGCCGGACTGTACAGCCAGAGCCGGACTGGTCCAACAGGCCATGTGGGCCATGTGCCTTGAGGGCCTCCAGACGTGCACCTCGACCGTACTTCGTTGAAACTAGTTTAAGACATCCTAAGACCATACTGGAGGCTTGGCGAGGTTAAGGGACGTAAAGTGCACATCGAACTTTGTACAGAATCTTGTGAACTTCTGGTGTGTTCGGGCAGGTGATTCCCACCGCATTGGAAAACGTGGCAGTTCCAAATGCAATTGCCAAAGAATATATCGATATCGCGTAACTGCAGGAACTAGTAAGGCATCCTCACTCCAGTGGAAGATGCATTTGTCAGAGGTTTCATCTGCCAATGCGATGTTTCCTGCGTTTCAGCTAATTCACCCTACCCGGTTTGCCATGATCTGTGCCGAGCCTCAATTCGCATGGACACCTGGTTGGCCAACGGCAGCCAAGGCGACGACGGTCGAGTTTCAAGCAATGCAACAAGGGTTGGTATAGGCAGGCCCCAAAGACTTCTATTCCCCACAAAAAGTTTCTTTCTGCATTCCAATAATAACTTCAATTGCAGAGTTCATTTCTTGAAGACCATGGTCGAAGGCCGCAACTCGTCACACGTATTTTATCTGGATGTATATTTTTTTTTGCGAGATAGAATATGATGGTGGTCATGTTCGCTCACTCTTCTTATTTTCATGAATTGTTGTAGATGGACAATTCTTTCATGACCAAAATTCAGTTTTAAGAAGAGTGATGCTGGGTGCAGTGGGCCGAATTGATGAAAACCAAAGATTTAATTCAACTATTTATATATTGGCCGCGTAATCCATGTGTATGATGGCCTTATTGGCAATCTGCGGCCTGAAAAATAGAAAGAAAAAACAATAAAAATACCATCACACAAAAAGAAATTAATACGATGACATCATGTTTACCTGAGGATGTTATATCATGTTTCATTGTTGCTTGTAGAAAACAGTGAATTGGTTCAGTGGAAAGTCCCGACAGCCAAATCACCGCGGCCGCGCGGGTCAAGGTTTTCTCAGCTGTTGCTATGCTCACTTCCCAAGCATCTCATATCAACATGATGGGGGGCACTAGGCTGCCACCACCCACTTTCTTCCTAAACGGTCGGAGCTGGATTCTAAACGGTTGCGAATATATTTCTGGATGTTTTTTCGTTTTTTTTTGGGTTTTTTTTGTCTTTCGTGTTTCGTGGCAGGTGCAGTACTTTGTGGACCTTGCAAAGCACATTTCGTGGCAGGTGCAGGACTTTGTGGGCCTTGGAGTGCAGAGTTTGTGGCAGGCGCAGGACTTTTTGTGGGCCTTGAAGTGCAGATTTCGTGGCAGGTGTAGTACTTTGTGGCCCTTGGAGTGCAGATTTTGTGGCAGGCGCAGGACTTTGTGGACCTTGAAGTGCAGATTTCGTGGCAGATGCAGGACTTTGTGGGTGTGGAAGTGTAGAGTTGGTGGCAGGTGCAGGACTTTGTGGGCCTTGGAGTGCAGATTTCGTGGCAGGCACAAGACTTTGTGGATCTTGAAGTGCAGATTTCGTGGCAGGTGCAGTACTTTGTGGATGTTGAACTGCAGAAAGATAGAAAGATAGAAAGATAAATTGATAGATAGATTAGATTAGATTAGATTTAGATAGGTAGATAGATAGATAGAGGAGGCATATTTGCTTGGTTAGAAAGTTTCGCACCGGGGAGTTCACCTTAAAATATTGATTTCGTGGCAGGCGCGGGTGTCGGGGATGAAGTGCAGATTTCGTGGCACGGGGGGGGTTGGGGGGGGGCGCAGCGCCCCCTCCAGCAGCACACCAGATCCAAAGGTGAGCAGCTCGTGCTTGCTTGCTTGCTTCCTTGCTTCCTTGTTTGGTTTCGTCTCTGCAACGAAAACAACAGGAAAAGCAAATACAAAAAGAGAAAGGAGAACAGCTGCCAAAAGAAAGTAAGAAAGATAGATAGATAGATAAATAGATAGGTATAGACAGATAGATGGATAAGCCAAAAAGCCAAAAGCCACAAAAGCCAAAAGCCACAGAAGTCACGAAAGCCACGAAAGCCAAAAGCCACAAAAGCCAGAAGCCACAGAAGCCAGAAGCCACGAAAAACAAAAAAAACAAAAAAGAAACAAAAAAAAATCCAAAAATAAATACCCCTCCAAAATTAACGGTCAGATTCTGAAACTGGGGTTCTGAAACTGGGATTCTAAGGCAAGCATTCTGAAATGAGGCTCTGAAACTGGTATTCTGAAACTGGAAAGTCTGGACTCAAGATGCGGAACCCTAGTTGCCACTCAAGAGCTAACACAAGCCTTCACGGTACACTTCGAACCTTTGAGCGGCCACTTGCTTTACATTACCGCTTGTGACCAAGACCGGGCCCAGCCAAGCAGCACCAACTCACGGGTATTGGTTCCCATTCCTGGGTCATCCGCGTCTGCTTCGTACGACTCCTCAGAGATCAAGCCGCAACCGTGCGAGGCTCCACGACGCGCGTCCACCTCAATTCACACAAGCCAAAAATTGCCGCCTTCCAACCACCATTGCTTCGTCCCAGGACCAACCCTGGGATGTTACCCTGGCCATTGGTTGGTTCGCCGCTGGAATTCGCTCTCATACACGCAACACCAAATTGTCCAAACTGCACGACACCCACGCTGCTCTCAACTCGCGACAATATCAATGCTGGGCCGCCTTTTGTCTGCAGGCGAATGCTTGCATATGGCACCGCAGCAATGGTTAGTAACGATGAACACCGTCTCGCTCAAAATCGTCATGGTTAGTAACGATGAACACCGTCTCGCTCAAAATCGTCTGGATGGCATCACCGATGCCCCACAATTGGGTCTGAGTCTGAACTGTGGCCTCGAAGCTCTAAGTGAACAAGAATAAAGGCTTCAAGCTTGACCTTGATGTCCATCCATGACGGGCTGCTGGCTTGACCGGATCTAAGGTCTTCGCCACGAGGAAGGTTGAAGCGATAACCGCTTGACGGCGATCGGACGAGATGTCGAAAACGCTCCAAGTTCACATAGCATATTGGTCAACACTTCGTCCAACAACCAATTCTGGAAGGGACTCTGGATCCGATTGTACTCCATGATCAAGATCGCTCCTTCACCTTCAGATCAGGCAGCTGGCTGCTCAAAGGATTGTGGGATGTTGCCCATTCCCCAGCGAAAAAACGCTTTCCTCGCCGAGTGGCCTGCTCTTGCTACGTCCTTCCGGGCGGTCAACAGAATTTTGCTAAATCAACATCCAAAAGACTTAGCTCAGTGCCAACCTTCACCCCCTTCACCTCCTACACCGCCTCACGCGTTCATCGACGCGTTCATCGACGCGGTCTCGATTCATGAGTTCATACACTCCCTGGAGGATGAAAGTCGTCCACGACCTCGCGGTTGGGTTGCGACAGCTTTTCACGAACTCGCCCAACATCAAATCCAACCTCCGGTTCCGAGGGAGGAACGAGACGAGCAGAGCGAGCGGAGCGAGCATCTCGTTGGGTGTACATCACGAGACACAGACGATGCAAGGAGCGAGGCGATGCACCGATGCCGTCTTTCTCCCGCCGGACGCCGACGGAAAAGAATAGTTGCATTGCAACGCGCCATGCAAGGGGTCCAGGAGATCAAAAAAATTGGTCACTTGGTCGTTGCCATGGAAGATGATGGTGGGCCAAAGTGCCAAAGAGGCATTAATATATATGCATATCCTTTCTATATCTTTCCTAGATTTCTTCCTAGCCCAGTCTGCACTAGAGGGCCCAACACGAGGGGGATACCCAACCAAGAGGCTGCAACAAACTGAACACTCCCAATTCCCAGCATCCAAAAACATCTTAAAGAAGGCGCATACACTACCCTCGTCTTTCGCAAGGTCGCCAAGTGACGTGCTGCGCAGGGCCGCCTCCACCATGGTATTGCCCAAGGAAGAACTTGCCCATCTCCCGGTAGACCAGGCGCCACTGCTCCTTGCTTTGGGGACTGCCACGTCGATCATCGCCAGGAAGTCATTTTGAGCTGAGTAACGACTTCAACGGCGCGGTTCCTCCCGGGATTCCTCTGGACGTCGGCGTGGCGACGGCGGAATCTGGGCGAACAACAAAGGGACGGTTTGCGACTCACAGGTGACCAACGAGCAATGTATTTTCACAGTCACACTTCTTCACATAGTATATAGATCTATAGATGCATTGTTCATTATGTTCTGTTATGTTAGCTTATGTTTATGTGGTATCGCTTTGGCTGCCCTGGCTCTCGTTGTTCGCTCTGACTGTCCTGCCGTCAGTGAACTTCAAGGGTCCATCCTCATTGAGCTGCTCTTCTTGGATTCTCTCCTTTTTCAGCTGCAGGTCCTTACGGGCAGTCAACAGAATTTTGCTAAATCAACATCCAAAAGACTTAGCTCAGTGCCAACCTTCACCCCCTTCACCTCCTACACCGCCTCACGTGTTCTTCGACGTGTTCATCGACGTGGTCTCGATTCATGAGTTCATCCACTTCGCTCCTGTAGGGTCAAAGGGAAGCTCGCGGCTTGTGTGTCCAAGCCGTCCACGAACTCCCCAAACATCGAATCCAACCTCCGGTTCCGAGGGAAGAACGAGACGAGCGGAGCGAGCATCTCGTTGGGTGTACATCACGAGACACAGACGATGTAAGGAGCGAGGCGATGCAGAGGTGCCGTTTTTCTTCCGCCGGACGCCGACGGGAAAGAATTGTTGCATTGCAACGGGCAACGCACCATGCAAGGGGTCCAGGAGATCAAAAAAACTTGGGCCAAAGAGGCATCAATACGCCTTACTACATATATCTCTTCTCTAGATTTCTTCCTGGCCCAGTCTGCATTCTAGGGCCCAACACGAGGAGGGGATACCCAACCAAGAAGCTGCAACAACACGCAACAAACTGAACATGAAAAAACATGAAAACTGATCACGCCCAATCCCCAGCATCCAAAACATCTCAGTCTGAAGAAGCCTACCCGACCCTCGTGAGACCCGCCGCGGTCGCCAACTTTGTAAGGCCGCCTCCATGGTCGGTGCTCGGTGCGGCGGCTTCTTGTCCACTATCGCACAAAAATCCTCTGCCGATGGAGAAGAGGATCGAAGCTCTCGACCAGGGACTTGCCACCAACCGTTGGACGCCCAGTCGGTGAATCGTTCGATGGACAAATTACATGGACGATTCCAACCCTGCTTCGGCAACTTCTTCGATGCATGTGCTTCATGAGCGTGATTCACCACGGTCTGAGCTGTCTGCAACACAGGTGCTGAAGAAGCAGCAGGTGGAATGATGCACTTTGTGGAGGCAGTGGCACTGACGAAGAAGCTGCCTGAGCAGAAGGCCGGAACGGAAGGTGTTGAGCTTGCAACTCCCCGAGCTGGGATCATCGACCTGGTGTCCATGAGCATGATGATCCCACCTGTTTCATGCGTTCTGCATCTGCCACCTGTCGCTGAAAGGCTGCAGGAAGCGCTTGGCCTTCCGACATGGCAATCACCCAGGCCCTAATTGAAAAGCTCCAGCGAAATACTGTTCTTTTGCCTGGCGATCGCCGCTTACTTTTCGCCAAAATGGCCACACGCAATGAAATAAACGATCAACTGAACAGTTACAGTATACTTAGTGACCCCCTTAGTTCCAGGCCCTTCTAGCCGTAACTCTCACTTTATCCCTTCCAAGCTTCCCAAAACGCTCACATCTCGGTGCCAAGAAGATTCTTTGGGGTGAACCGTTGCCATTGGGGGGGGCGGGGTCCCATTCGCTACGCGACGCCGAAACGTCTTGCACCGCGCCTGGATGGCGCGCTCGCGCGCCATGGGCCCGGGCTCAGCCATGGGACCACTGCCTTCGAGTTGGCCGTGGCCTCGGAGCATCGTCCGTGGTGATTGGATTCAGTCCGAGAAGCTGAGAATCCGATTGAGCGTATTTATGGAAATAATATTGCTGTGGGTCAAAATCAGCACATCTTGGTTGACCTACCTGGAAGGTCAAGCTTGATGGTGTTGGGGCTCCAGGTTTTCACCAATACATGTATATATATATATATGTATATACAGTATACGAAACTGAAAATGATGATTGCCGAAATGAGGAAACCTTGCTCATGGAGGGCAGCTTAGTCCTTTAAGATATGTCAAAGTCTTCTCTCGATCTCAGCTAAAGCACAAAGAGGAGGTCTTTACCCCATCCTGCCCAACTTGTCGTCCCATCGTCCGTCACGGCCTCGCAGGAAGAGATCTTTGATTTGAAGCCCCAGCTGTGAGAGGCTCAGAGCTGGGGACCATCCCTCAGCTCTGTCCAGCTGTGATCACCCACCCGGATGGCAGAAATTTTGAAGAACATGGAAATACCTGGAACTCAAGGCCAGTGCCAGCGGCAAGGAGATGGCACGGGATTCTTGGGTAGTGTGACCACCTGTTCAGAAAACAAATGTGTACCCTTTGCTAAACAAGCGCGTCTAAAGTGGGGCAGTGAAGTCCCGAGGGGTGGCCTAGCATAGGCCCTATCATAGGGGGGGTCCTAGGGGGTCCATAGGCCTAGGCCCTATCATAGGGAGGGTCCTGGGGGTCCATAGGCCCAATCATAGGGGGGGGTACTAGGGCCAGCCTAGGCCATATGATAGGGGGGTCCTAGGGCTAGCCTAGGCCCTATGATCGGGGGGGTGGGGGTGTCCTAGGGCCAGCATAGGCCCTATACATTAAACTTACTATGATCGAACTCTGGTAGTTCATCCCCTTTATGAACTGGAAGAAAACATGTTATGGGTTACGGTGTCACCTTCTATTTCTTGACTTTGCCTATTGCCAGGCACTACAAACAAAACATTGTTATTCATCTTCTTGAAATACTGGCCTATGTAACTCTTACCTGATCCTGCGATTTTGCCCTAATCATACATGGGTTTTGTTTTTCAATGTGCTTACATATTGCGTTGGTGTCCCATTCATCCACCACATAGTTTTCTTCATGTGCTATTTTAGGATTTTCAATTAAGTCATTGTATCTAACTTTGTTTTCATTAGTTGGAAAATTGATTGATTTGTTTGTCAGCCTCCATTTGCCTATTCCTTCTTCAAAATTCAAAGCTCCCGTCTGATTTAAAAAAAATAAAAATAAAAAAATAAATAAATAAAATAAATAACAAATGATTTGGTTTACCCATCGCTCTAGTTAGATCGTCGTCATGGATTGTAAAGGCATCACTCTTCACTGAATAGACCTTAATATCATTTTCAACTAACTAATTATACGCCTCATACATTGAAAAATATGCTATTGTGGTAGCATCTCTTCTATATATCTAAAACCATTGACTAATTAAGTTATGTTAATGGTGTTTACGATGTAGTAGGTATTGCCCATACATGATTATTCTTCATTTTTTTATTTCAAACTCCCTTCGATAATAACACGCCTCCCTCAAAGTGTTGAAGCTGTAACTCTTCTGTGCGGTGTTATGTGATTTTTCTAGCATTCCAAAGGTAATATGTCCTATTTTACTTTTGTAATCTTTAATAATAGCAGTTTCCAATAGTTCATTAACAACCTGATCATAATTGACCTTATGAATGAATGAAGGGGTTTTTTATAACAAATAATGTGTTTTCATTATTTGGTTCCAATAGGTTTCTTAAAAAACTGTCCATATATTAAATTAGACCTCTTATTGAAAAAAACATGTGATGCCTTCGCTTCCACCATATACAAGGTTAAACTAGATAATTCATTAATGTCAATGTCATTACTGTAACGCTTCCCACTATCATACTCATGAAAAGACCGGTATGAATCTAAGTTGTTTGAATGCCCATGTAAAAGCTCTAGTCCTGCCAATGTCTATCAGTTTTGTCGTATCAATGTGTTTAGCAAAATAACCTGATGGAACTATAGTTCTACATTCATCCAGTATTGCTATATCAGTCATATCATAGTTTGACTTATGACTTTCTGAAAAAAATGCTTCAACTATATGACTATATTCATCTTCAACATCAGTATAGACATCCCTCTCTATGACATCTAGTGCTAAGTCTTGAGTCTTGATGATGTAGGTTGTTACTTTAATGGCTGTTTTCTTGTCAGTGTATCTAGCCCTTAACTCTGCTATTCTGTTGCCGTGGTATTATATATAAAGTTCATAACCTACCTTCTTAAGTTGAAACAACACCTCATTTAAGTTGTTGTCTGTATGTATCAAATAATACTCTTCACCTGTCATTTTCAGTAGTTCGTCTATATGACTCATTCTGTATTTAGGGGGCTCATCCCTATCATTGATAAGAAAAATACTAGATGCGGTCAGTTCCAAAGTTTTCTCATGCTTCAACTGCGATAGTCTGTCTTGATTAGCATTGATGGGATAAACACGAGTTTGTTTCATCATTGCTACCAAAATGTTCATTGTATGTCCATTCTTGTAGTTATTAGGTTCAAATCGGTAGATCAACTGGCACTGAAAACTGTATAGTTTAACTGGGGTGTTGAAGAAGGTAAAGACCTTTTTCATTTGATTTATTGATATGCCGTATTCATGGATCTCATCCTCTGTCATGTTTAGTAGTTCTAGTCTTTTGTTTCTTGATGTGTCTTTGCTAGTTTTCCTCTCTTCTCTCTTGTAAGTTCAGTGCCTTCATAGGTTTTAAGGAGTGCATTTATCCAACACTCATTATCATTGAAAGGAACACCACATGGTCAATGCTGATGACATTCTTAATTGAAAAGATTATACCAAAGTTGCTGAAATTCTGGCATAATGTGTTCATTTCATTCCTTCAAAAGAGCAATTCAGTCCATAAAATGAGCAACTCATTCCTTAAAATGAGCAATTCATTCCATAAAATGAGCAACTCATTCCTTCGTTCCTTAAAATGAGCAACTCATTCCTTAAAATGAGCAGTCCATTTGGGCAAAATGGGCAACTCATTCCTTAAAATGAGCAGTCCTTTTGGACAAAATGAGCAACTCATTCTGTAAAGTGCAGCCTTGGGAGCGCCAAAAAGCATCGTTTATGTCATTCTCAGTGATGACTTCGGTCATTATCATAATGATTTTGGTCATTGTCTCAATGACTTTGGTCATTATCATTGTGATTTTGGTCACTATCACAATGATTTTGGCCTTATCATTATGATTTTGGTCATGATTATAATGACTTTGGTGATTATAATAATGGATTGGAACACATAATATTTCTAATGTAGATTAAACTATGTCTACCGACTTTTTCTATGAGAGACCTTGATGCTAGGTTGGTTCCTATGAAAGACCTATGATGATGAAATGAAATGAATCGGGTAGGGGGAGTTGGTGAGTATGGCTCTATGATAATGAAGATGAATGCGAATCTGCGGTGGAAATGACATGGTAGATAATGATTGGGTGAATGAAGAATGAATAGGTGTAGGAAGATTGGGGTGAGGATTTGAATGATGGTGTGGGGAATGGGTCAATGGATTGAATTTTGTTTGAATGATGGATGACTGGGGTGGTGGATGGATGAGAGGGTGGGGGGGCGGTTATGAAAAATGCGGTGAGGTGAAATGAAGGAACCAACCTCCCAACGTCTATTGCTACTATCATAGACCGTATGACAGGGAGGGTCCTAGGGCTAGCCTAGGCACCAGCACAGGGGGGTCCTAGGGCTAGCCTAGACTCCAGGATAGGGGAGTCCTAGGGCTAGCCAGGCCCCAGGATAGGGGGGGTCCTAGCTAGCCTAGGCCCTATGAAGGGAGGTCCTACGGCTAGCCTAGGCCCTATGACAGGGAGGGTCCTAGGGTAGCCTAGGCCGTATGATGGGGGGGTCCTGGGGCTGGGTCAGGCCCTACGATAGGGTCTAGGCCAGCCCTAGGACCTAGGATGGGGCCTAGGCTAGCCCTAGGACCCCCCCCTATCGTAGGGCCTCTGGTAGCCTAACCTAGCCCCCCATACTCCCCGCCTAGGCGGGTAGAGTGACTAAAGGAGTCCATCGTCCCGAACCCATCAAGCAAGATCCAAAAAATGTGTGTAGCGAGTAAAGATGGTGCAACTGGCTTCGTTGTGCAAACTCAGGACCATATCGGAAGGTCAAGAAGCCAAAAATGCAAGAGGGTTCTTTTGCACGAGCGCTTACCAACTACTGTCATGCCACTCGGAAAAGACCCAAAGACCCTCAAAGGAAAATACAAAACACTGACACCCGCCAGAAGCCCCTGCTGAGCAAGCCTAGCCACATGACTGGTGAGGACCTCCATGCAAAGTGCGCCTTGATCCTGCACCCAGAAGCTGCCTAAGCATGTGGCTGAACGCTTCGAGAGAAACCTCCTGGTCTTGTGGCAAGATCCAACAATCCGACCTCCTGCGCTTTTGGGCGAAGTTGAACTGGTTGGTATACAATTCCTTTGTTCACGAGGGTGTGAGTTGGTGCATTGCTTCTGTTTCTGCCTTTCTTGACATGGCTGAGTCGCATGTTGAAAAGCTCGCAAGGCAAAGCCAGAGCAAACTCGCCGGCACCCCCAACCAATGGATGAATCAAACACGCATGGCCAACCAGGCCAAACCTCCTCTCATTCACACCCAAACGTGGACTTTCCTACAGTCTCTTGTCCCACCCTACCAGGATGGTTTTGCATCTCCATATGGCCCATACGGGGGTGTCTTTATCCACATGTGATGTTATATGATCTCCATATGGCTGTGGGTCATGGCACCGGGATACCTTGGACTTGCACAACTGGATTTGAGCGATGACAAAACTGGCTTGACCTACCTGGTGTCGCTCTTTCGCTTCATGGAGGTGCTTCAGGTGGGTCACGAGCCCATATTGATCAGGATGACTATCAGGATGTTAATTGATCAGATTTCTCCAAACAAATTATTGGATGGTATAGGTGAATCCACCCAATATGGAGGACCAGATTATCTGTGGATCCAGTCCAATTTCTTCCAACATGTGATCCCATCTTTGCCACCTGGCCCGACCCTGAGTGCCCCCACCAGGTCGGAAGCGGGGCCGCATCACGCGCACCGCGGGCGGAGCGGTGGGGAAGGTTGAGGGAATCCAAAGCTCCAGTTCCACCTGAGCATCGCGGTTCGGTTATTTCTTATTCTTCCCTGTCGCAGTTCGTGCGATGTCAAACAGTTCAAAGGCTGAAGCAGCAATCCAGAAAACCAGAACATCGCACATTCAAATGAGGCATCCAAGTCGTTCGGGCACGGTTGCACTTGGAGGACCCCGGTCCAGGCTGGGTCTGGTGTCCTTTGTCACTATGAATTTCGCACAGACCCGCATGAATCTACAATTGGCATATCACAGGACATCATGTCCGTCAATGAAGTCCCTAACGCCAGAAGTCGTTTGAAGCACCTAACTCCTCGTGGCAGGAGGATGAACTTCATACTCCGAGGGCACGGTCGTCCGAGGGCTCCACTGTCGGACCGCCACGCCGGACCGGGGCTCCACACGGCCTCGACCTGGCAGCGCCGCAGTTCGGCACCCAGCGCACAGGAGCGCAGACCTGGTCGGTCAGAAGGGTCGGTCGGCCAGGTCTGAAGACAAGATCCGTCGAACATCAGAAATAGAGAGAGAGAGAGAGACTCACAAAAAAAGTCAGTTGCTGGATGATGGTTTTGCATTGTGTTCAGTGTTGATGATTCTTTTTCTTCCCCTTTGCCTGGTGTTTGTTGATTCTCGGAGCTTCAACAAAGCCTGCAGGTGGTTCGCAATGTGGCTAGAAAGGGCAGGGACCTTGGACATCAATAAAGCACTAGGTCGTGATCCTGGGGTGGTTGCTTATGTCGTTGATTTCGATGAGTTTGTTCTGCCCTCGTATCTTTGGATCCGCCTTCGCTGTAGAGCCGCATGGTCCACAAGCGCAAATCATTTCCATCCGGGTCAGCCAGCAAGAGTTCCATCCTCGGATAGAGAAACGAATATGTTTGGCCAGCTGCGAGTCACTGAACAGCAAAGCAGGTTGTGAGTTGTCACACATGACAGAATTAGAATGTTTCAGCAGTCCCACGCGATGTAGCAATCTTACATTACAAAATGTTGAAGAGACGAACAAGGGTTGCATGTTTTTCGATGAAGAGTCTGCTACGGTAAAACGACCCCTCTCCTCACAGCATGACTTGGAGTGTGTTTCTCTGGAGGTGGGTTTGGCTGAAGAGCGGCAAGAGTTTGAAGGACATATCCATGTTCCCCTTCCACAACGGTCTTGGGGATAGTAAGAATATGTAAAAATCCATAGAAATCCATACAACAGGCAATGTTTTGGAAGTACAATACATGTTGTGATCTGAATGGAGCATCTTCCCTCCTCAAAGCGGTACTCGAGCACACAAGCTCAATCAAGCTCATGTGGAGCACAAATCAAAGCAATCCGTTGTCTTTCCACCCTCCTCCCTTTATGGCTGCCCTCCCATCTCCGAAAATCATGTCCTGGCTCCTGGGTCCGTACCGGTCCACCCTCCAATCGCATCCCATCGCCAAGAAACGCGTGCGCGGTCCGCAGCTCCTCCCGCTGGCGTTCCAACTGCCGCAGCTCACAGCCCAAACGCCGCAGGGCACGCAGTGGCAGCGCGCCTTAGAGGTTGGGGATGCACAACCCACCCACAGATGGTTTCTTCCAAAAAATGGAAGTTCCCATGCAACGGTTCTTGGAAAACAAGCCCACCTGAACTAGAGTCACCAGAGGTCTGGGGTTGATTTTTGATGAAAGGATGCCCGAGATTAGTTTGGTTTGACCCGTTTAATGGGGGTTCAACTTGTAAATTCTTCTTTGGGGTTCCTTTTAGAAAAACAAAAATTGGCCACAGTCTCTGGCACGCCCCTGAACCCTGTATCCGGGTCCCGTCCTCCTCTTGTCCTCCTGGTGCTTGCAGGTGTCCTGCTGTTGTCCTCTGGTCGCGCTGGCCAACCTTGTGTCCTCTTCTTGTCCTCCTGGTTTCTCTCTCTTGTCTTCTTGGTATCCTTCTCTTGTCCTCCTGGTGTCCTCTTCTTGTCGCCCTGGCGCTTGCAGTTGCTCTGCTGTTGTCCTCTGGCCGCGCTGGCTAACACCAACACCTCCAGGTGTCCTCCTCTTGTCCTCCTAATTTCTGTCTCTTGTTGTCTTGGCTTCCTCTTCTTGTTGTGCTTTGGCCGTGCTGGCCAAGCCTGTGTCCTCTTGTTGTCCTCCTGGTTTCCTTCTCTTGTCCTTGTGGCACTTCCTTCTGTCCCCTGGTGTCCTCCTCGTCCTCCTGGTTTCTTTCTTTTGTCTCTTGGTGTCCTTCTCTTGTCTTCCTGGTGTCTTCTTCTTGTCGTCCTGGTGCTTAGTGCTTGCAGCTGCTCCCCAAGCTCTTAAGAACAAAACACTGGCCACACTCTCTGGCCGCACCCTTGAACCTTGTCTCCGGGTGTTGTCCTCTCTTGATGTCCAGCCCTGTGCCCCCCTTCTTGTCCTCTTGATGTCATAGTCCAGTCCATGCTTTGTCTGTCCTGTTGGCCGCGCCGCCTTGTCAGGGTTTGTGTGTCCTGGCTCGGGTCTGCCTGGGCACAAAACTTGCTGCAAGTCAGCGTTTTGGGCTCGGGCCATGCTCCGCGGGCGGAGGTGGGACTCAGCGGCGACATATCGGAGTCGCCTTCAGTCGTGAGAGTGGGCCCTGGCAGGAGCGTGGTAGCAAAGTGCTCCTCAAGGTTGTATTGTTGACGACGCGGAGCTGACGGCAAGGCAAGAAGTAGGATAAGTAGGATGGGTGTATATAATATATGCTCCGGAACCCCTCCGCAACCTGCTCCCGAGTCTGCCCCAGAACTTGCCGCAGAACCTGCTCCGGAAGCTGCTCCGGAGCTTGCTCCGATCTGCTCCGAAGTCTATACTATGGCTCAAGACCCCTAAAGCTTCGCTGTTGCGGAAAAAATAGGCGCAAGCTGCGTGGCTCTGCCTCTCCGGTGTCCACGTTGTCGGCCCGTTTACCACAGCCTTGTCTGGGCCTTGCTGGCTGCTTGGCCACGCCGCTTTTTCTGTATCCACCGCCGTGTGACTATGAATGCAACAGTGATGCAGTGTTTCAAATTTGAGATCATCCTCGCATTTTTCATGATATATATATATATATATTAGATATACCCCTTTGCTTTTCACATGTGACTCAGGCATCAGGAACTGTTGTTTTTAATGATGTTTTGTTTACGTGCCGGCCGTTACACCAACATTAGAACTCAGGGAGTTGACACTTAAAAATATTGCTGACATTGTTTGGGGTGTACGCTGGCCTAGTTGTCCTTCCTGTCAGCAAAAGGAAGTTTGAATGCTTGTTTGAAAAAGCGCGCAAAAAGAAAGCATTTGCCAATTTGCCACGTGGTTCCTTGCTAAAACATTGAAGACATTCAACTCGCACAGGAACAGTTCCTGATGCATCCATGCTGCTCTCAGCGACCGTCTCCGGCGGCGCGCTTGCCGAGGTCTCCACGAGTGGTGGCGCACTCGCCAGCGGCAGAGGGAGATCAGGTGGATCGGCCGCAGGTGGATCAGCTGCAGGTGGAGCAGCCGCAAGTGGATCAGCTGCAGGTGGATCATCCAAGGCTTCCTGAGCCAAGTTGATGGATCATATTCATATATGGATCGCTGATTCATTGGTCCTTGAGAATCTTGTCTGAGGCTTCCAACACGGAGATGCCATGTGCAAAGTGGATTGGATGAAGAACACGTCGCTGATGGCAAAAACCAGCCATGTCTTACCCCATCTCTTGCGGGCAATCCTTGCACATCGGATACTGCCGCGGATCAATGTCTAATTCCAAAAGCCACCAGTCTGAGACGACTGCGGAAGACGACTCTTGAACAAGAAAACTCCTTACTAGAGATAAGAAGCTACTAGTAACAGGGGCATTGCTACTAGTAGCAAGGTGCCTTACTAGTAATAAGGAGCTACTACTAGTAACAAGGTCGAAGACTTCATCCAAGTTGCACTCGCCACATCCAAGCGCAACAAATCCGTGACCTTTCTGCGAATCGATCCCAGCGGCCCGACGTCTAACTGATCCAACCTCTCAAAGACTTGGCACCGACCAAAATAGATGTGTTTTTTGGAGTAGGCGCCTACTTAATTGTTGTAAGGGTGACTAGTTCGCTACTAGCAATACTTAAGCTACTACCTACTGGACGATAGCTCACGCTTCTTCAAGGGAAGCTTCCTTGAAGGAGCGCTCGCACTAATGATTTGGCTCCTAGATTTTTAGGGAAACTTACAAAACTTAACTTTTAGGTGTAGTGTGTGTAGTCTGTGTAGTGTGGTTTACATGAGTTTACTGCGTTTACACCATGGTTTAACTTATCAATCCTTTGGGAGTGTACTACTAGTTAGCACATCCAAGATGATGTTTGGAGAGTCATGTGGGCGAGCCACCAGGCTCCTCAGGGATTGTCCTTCTTTGACTGTCACTCTGTGGATGCTCTGTTCTGTCCTTCTTTCCATCCTTAGTCGATGTTCCAGTATCTTGGCACCATGTTGCCTGGGCTAGCCCAAGACTGCATGGACCGGCACACCACCTAAACACCTGTGGCAAGTGAATGTCCACCAACACTGCAGTAAGGCCCTTCAAATGGGAAGATGTTCAGCCACAGAATCGCCCCGCGTGTCCGGCGCCAGCCCGAGGCACCTGGACCCTGCACAACGGGCAGCGGGATCGTCCCTCGCTCAGGCGCAAGGTGAGCGCACAGGAGTGGCAACAGCAGAAGTGGTTGCAAGGTTTCCTGTGGCAACAGCGTCCCCTCTGTCGACAGTGTCGGGACCATCCGACACGTTGCTCAAAAAAAAGAAACACGCATCCTCGTACATGTCTAAAACTTCTGGAAACGAGATGTACTGCAAGTTGCTGATGGACTTGTGGTTCCCCAAAAAATCCCAGCAAATATACGAGGGGACAAAATCCTGAAGGGGATGTAGTCAGCCTCGATTGGAAGCAAAATTGTCTGAGAGCTTGGAGACAAACAAGTTGAGATGTGAAGTAGCCCAAAGGTCCATCTTCTCAGGATTGAAGCCGGGTATGCTAAGTAGCCACAAAACTTCCAGGCGTTCAATACCTTCACAGTTTAAACACCACTCCGCTGGTTTGGGGTTGGTTTGGCTTTCAATATCATGGTGATGAGTCTCAGGCAAACCATTGCTTGGCCACCGGGATCTTATGACTGAAACATCGGAGGTCTGAATGACGTTGCCAAAATGGAATTGCCTCAGGGCTTGGAGTAAGTACAGTACAACCAAACGACCCGAGCCAAGTAGCAGAGCGGTGTTCTTTGGGTTGGTAAGGCAAATGACACCTCATATGTTCAGGACCAATTGTCCGCAAACGATGATTCTATGCTGGTTCGGTGTACATGCATCCGAATATAAACAGCACATGGGGTTCTTTCAATGATTCTTGAAACGGCCCAAAGTGCATTCTTGTATACTGATTTCCATCCAAATATAGATTGAATTTGCTGTTGTTGTTAGGATCTCAGGAATTCGGGCATAAAAAGCCTTCAACAAATGTCCGACGAATAAGCAAAACACGGAAAGAAGACCGTCATTGGGCCATTGGGAGTGCTGCAAGGAAACCAGGAAGGTCCACTTTGTCTCAAAGAACATTAGATAATTTTACTAGTTACTTTACTGTATCTCATTTGATTTGAACCGCATGCTGATGCTTGCTGCTGATGTGAGTTTGCCACAGGAGCTGCATCGCTACAACTGTTCGCGCAAGGGCCACAAGGGCCCAGCATAAGCTTCGACTTGGTGCTTGGAGAGCTTTCATCACCACAGCTTACAAATGGTCAGAAAGGCTAAACCGTCGCACAGCAGCAAAGAAGTGCTAAAATGCTGTGTGTTGCTCTGATACCAGTACCCAGCAATTCTTGTGTGGAAGATTCTCTGTCTCGTGATTTGTATCACAATCCAATCGGCGCTTTTGGTGGTTTACTGTTTCTTGCACAGGATGGCTTTGGCAATTTGATACAAGTGCATCCGCCCTTATGCACAGTTCAAAGGATGCCTCCACCGAAGCACAGTGGGAATTGCTCAACTGGCGGAGACTTGTGAGTCTAAACCTGAGGAAGACGAAAAGCTCTGTCTCATTGTTGGTAGCCACGCGTTGACCCATCTTTTTTGCACTGTCCAATGGGCGAATGATTGCTCAGTGGCCGCTTTGGGTTGCAATTATAGAAGTTGGATGGCTTTTGGCCCATGACCCATGCATTCTTCCCTTGGTGGAGCACAGTTTCAAGGCTCGACAACCAGACCGAGCGGCAATTTCGGCTGCTCTCTTCGTGGCCTTCCTGGTTGGCTTCCTGCGACGTCAACGGCGTCCATAGTTAAAGCTCAAAGCCTCCAAAACTTCGACAAAAGCGAAATGAGTTTCTTGAAAACTTATTGACGCCAAGAAAATCTGAGCCTGTGAATGAGAATCCTAAATTCATACCCCAAAAGGGTCTCTATCCAAACCCTAATGCCGATTGCAAAGCATTGTTTCCCACTTGCTATTGAAAAAAGGCTCAACATGCGACCGGCACGCTCTCCCAGACCTCTTTCCCTATCAAATCTTAAAAACGACTTAAAACGACTTTAAAAGAAGGCACAAACGTGCCAGTCCGACGAATTGTCCAGTCCGACCTGGAGGCCGAACAAGTGCTGCAGCCTGAAGAGCTCCCCCTGCCACGCCACCACCTGGTGTTCCACTTGAAGGCCTTGCCGCGTTGGAGCTGCGTTGGCCGCACGATGTGAACACGATTCGAGGGAATTGGGGTCCCCAATTGCACCGATTTGAAGAAATCCTCATGCAGGATGATCATCCTCAAGTTGCCCGAACATGAAGCATATGGGTTACAAGTGTTGTAACACAAGTGCATCTGATGATACTCTATAAATCTAGTTCCACTAACGGCTAGCAACAAAAAACCCTTGATGTGTTAAATGTTTGATATCCTGGAGCATGGAAGCTGAAGAGTTGAGTGCAAGGCACGGAGATCTCCCCTCATCACTTGTATCCTGGCTCTTCATTCTCTACTAACACATGCTAACACCACCGCCAATTGGCGGGGATTGGGCAAAAGCTCAATGAACAGCTCGGAGTGATGAAACTTGGTCGGTCTCATGATCTTGCCGAGCATCGGTTTCGCCTCTTCTGGCAGAAGATCATCACCTTAACAAGCAAAGCACGATCTGCAGAGCAGCCCAGACGATTCGAGCTGCAAACCCAAAACCCGAGGCCAGAAGAAGGAAGGCCGAATCCCGAAAGACGGAGAAAGGCTCGCGATAGGGGAGCATCACCAAAAGTTCCCCGGAAGTTACCATAGAAATCCAAAAAGATCGAGTCATTATAATGTTATTAAATTCTAATTAAACTTAATTCTACTTATATTTAATGTTTCTACCATTTTCTTGTTACTACTAGTAAGGCACTTGTTACTAGAAGCGATGCACTTGTTACCAGTAGCTTATTGTAACCGTAGGATTCAGATTCCATCTGCGCACCGATCATTCCCTCAAGATACACCCGTCTTCCGAGTCTCACCCTGTCCATGGCCGCCGTCCACGGGCTTCGCCCAACGGACGTGGGAATTGGATCGCAAATCCGGACGGATGGACGTCCAACCACAACGCAATGAAGTCAGCTAGGACCCATGGGACAACCAAATGCAAATGATGGCAGTATCGCAGTATCCCAAAAAACTTGAATGTAGATTAATTCCAAAAAGCAGTGAATCCAAGCAGCCTAAAAATCAAATTTGGGGTGGTTAAGCACCCCTCTTTCCCTCCAAACCCTCGCAAAAAGGTCGGTTCTGGACGCACCGAAACACCGAACACGTTCCGCGCGTTAAACGCACGGCGCGTGACCGTGCCATCCGCCGGTGGTGCATCCCAATGGACGGCGTCGCTGGGATGCAGTAAGAGCGCCCTGAAGAAAACAACACAGTTGGAGGACTCAGAAGCGGTTCACGTGTTGAAGTCTTTGGACAAAAACACCAGGTCAGGCAGTGGAAAAGGTCATCAGAGAGTGGCAGGGATTCGGACGTGGGTGGGAACCGGAAGGGTCGATCTATTGTCCTTTGCTGTTTGGACGTGCCAAGTTGTGCCTCATCCACTGAACTTGACACATGCCTCAGAGGGCTCAACTTGACACAACACATGCAGCTCAAGCCTTCCAATGAATATGCCTTGGCAGTAAAACTGAATTCTTTAGCAGAGCAAGACCACGGTGAGTCCAAATGCAGCCAATCGACCATTGACCTGTCTGTACCCCCCTCTATGCACTTGTCAAAATCAAGCATAGACCGAATGTGAAAAAAGGGAACCCGGGCCGGTGGGTCAACCCCTGGCGGTTGCAACAACTCCAAGGGGCAAAGAAAAGTGTGTTGGATGCACTTCGTCCAGCCGCACACCCTGCAGGCACACACGCTGATTGCCCATGGGCACCTGGGAGTCAAAGACACGGTCTTTGGAGCCCAAGACCCATCCTGCCCACTGTCCTGGTTCCTTACCCAAAGGCGATCGAAATCCATCACTTCAGGTCGGTTGGATGAGTTGGTCAAGGTTTGCCCGCAGCAACATGAGAATCTGACCGGTCTTCACCTGAAACAACGGGCGCAAATAACACCTCATTGTGGGTCTGCTGCAGAAACGAAAACGAAAACCGCTTCCCGCTGGCCAAGATGTAGTAGCCTTTCTTGACCAGGAAGCTACTCAAAAGACGCCAGCACAATCGTGTTTTTGCCACACCTACTGTCCCTTGCTTGGCTCACATACCCCGTCGCACATCCCATACCACGCCGCACCTGCGCCTCCCAGCGCGCCCGGTAGTGCGGCCAGCCGAAGCTCACCGCGGCAGGCACACCCGTCAGCAAACTGAGTCGGCCTGCCTTCGTAGCACGCAGGGGCACAGTGACCTGAGGCTCCAAGAAAGTCGGCGCACGTTGCATCGGTCGCCTTCGCAGTGGTCTCTGAGTATCTCTTACACTCATTTGAGACGTCTTTTTTTGAGTCAATCTTTACTGACGAACAGTTGGGTGAGCATAATGCCCTGCAAAATGTGGTAGATTAGGGGGGGACCCGTATATAGCTTGAAGCCAGTCACTATACCCGTCTGGGCCGCACCCATGGGGTTGGGACCCTGGCTGATGGGGGTACCCAACCTCATCCTAGCCACCAAACCCTAGATAAAATCTAGGAACCCAAGATAGAGCTTGATTTGGACCGTTTTAGCCAAATCCTAGATAAAATGCAACTACCCCAACCATATATACACTTTGACATGCTGGGATCTTGAGCTCCAAAGGGAAATAATGGACCTGACAAACCACCCCTGTACACAGCACTCAACGTCGGCCCCCCCTGATTTTAGACGCTTCGCTCCAAGTTTTTGTGTATTGGCTGCTGTGTCAGCAGTGTAGGACACTAGCAAACACGAGCAACTTGCAAATCATGCTGGTTGCAATTGAGAAATAGTTGAGTGGCTATTGTGAAGACTTTGTGTGCCCATCCATCACTTTGTGAGCACTGTCTTATAGATCTTATAGCAGAAAAAAAAGACTTCAAAATCTTAAACCATCAACGGGCTATGAGTTTGCTTTCGCTTTGGTTTTTGGGCACACAGAGCCTAGAGTATCCTAGAGTCCTAAAGATCCAGCGGGGATTTCTCGAAGCAATGCCATCCAGGCACTTCGCTGGGGAGGCTTGCTCTTGAGCTGATCCGAAATCTTAGCAAAGATATGGAAAACACTGCTGGAGTACTGATTTCGTGCACGGGTTTTGGCCAAAAGGTTGGAGAAATACTGCGGCGCACGCTGTACAGTCTCCTCCCACTCAAGGCCATTCAATTCTTTTGCGGTCAGCGGGTGATCGGGGAAGGCATCAGAGTAGAGCCTGAGAAGCTGACGCATCTGCAATTTGATGTTCTTGTCCCCGTCCGTTGACCTGCGAAAGCTGTCCGGAACCTCAGCGGACCAGAAAGGGGTCCATTGACACTGATAGACTGTTCGGCTTTCGATGCTTTCGGACACGTGTTGCTCTTTCTGGATACCGTGGGCGGAATAGAAAAAACCGGATAAACAACATGACGAGCCCCCCCACCCGCGTTTGAGATCATTTGAGATCGTTTGAGCGTACGTTTGGGGGGGAAGGGAAAAATTGCTGGCCCTGGAACAAAAGAGATCTCCTTGTCCACCACGGCAGCCTGACTCTGTGTCTGGCTCTTCTTGGTGGTAGGCTTTTTGCCCTTCCCAGGATTCTCCTTTTCCTCGACGGCGGCTTTCTTATCTTTCTTATCTTTCTTCTCGGGTGAGGCAGGGTCATCTGGCTTGTCATGCTTACCCTTCACGATCTGCGGAGAGGTGATCACATCACGAGTCCGCTTTCGAGCCTTTGGAGATGCATTGACTCCTGGCGCTGTGCTGGTCTTTGCTGGCGCTGAGCCATCTGCCTTCTCCAACAGGTTCTTCGGCCAATGCTTTATCAAATGTGCCCGCTGCACTGCATGCAAGGAATCTTGGTCGAGCTTGCACTGGAAGCAATCCGAATGGGGGGCTCTCTGACTCTACCCCTAGCACACAAGCAACGCGAAATGGTGTTGCAACAACTGAGATGCTTTCCGAATGGGCCCGGAAAGTGCCCTCCATGTCCCCCTCCACTGGGTCCATCAGGCAAAGACGCATGGAGTGAACCTTGTCTGTGGGCATTGGTAAATGTGTCGGCTTCACCTTCTTTCCAGCAATCACCCAAACGGCAAGGACAACAGCCACACGCCAAGCAGGAGGTTCCATGGGCGGCAAAGCCAAAACAACTTGACCTGCATGGAAGGTATCTGGAAGCGCATCAGCATCCATCTGGAGGACCTTGCGAGCATTGGACGCAGCAATGGTTTTCCAAGCCTGCATGCGACTGATACGATTTGCGGACAAACCGTTCTGCATGTTCACGAGTCTGCAGGCATGCTCCAACTGCTGGTGCCAATTTAGGTTGGCAGTTCTCATTCTGCAAGTTCGGTGGTTCTTGATGAAGCCTGTGTCACAGCCTTGGCCCTTTTCTGTCCGGAGCCTGACAACCAGCTTCCACAAGTGGATCCAAATCCGGTCACTCTGGAGATCCTCCTGCACTGATGGATGGTGGAACAATTCGTAGAGGGTCTTGGCAGGAATGTCTCCGGCCAGGGGCTTGTGGCCGGGTTCCCCTTCCGCAGGCTTTGCATTCAAGCATTCAATCACCTCTTCTCGGTCGAGGGTGATTTTGGCATGTTTCTCCGCACCCTCTGTTCCCACAAATCCTGACGCCTGCTTCTCCCTGGCCTGAATCTGCTTGAAAACGTCGAAGCATTCTCTGTCGGTGTTGCTGTGCTTGATGCGCTTGTTCCCGTCATCTTCTCCCATCGCACCATCATCATCAACCAACAATTCATCCTCTTCATCGTCAGCGCACTCCTCCTGCGAAACATGCGAAACAGCACTAGCCAAGAAAAGATGCTTCTTTAAAAAACTTGCAATACGTGTTGATCTTGTTATATTATGTTACAGTATATTACGCTTATTATGTTATTTTGTATTTGCTGTATTATTTTTATTTGCGGTGGCTGAGGTCCCAGATTTTTGTATGGATCCTGCCCTCTCTCTGACAGTCCTCATCTGATTCTTCGGACTGCCTTCCTGCGCAGTAAGCCATGTATGCTTTGTGGATCTGCACCTTGGTCATGGTGGAACAGCGCTCCATCAATTCAAAAGCCGCCTTCATTGCTCTCGTCGCTGCAGCTTGAAACTGCTCCTCAGAAAGCCGCTTCTGTGGAAGTCCCATGGCCTCGAACTCCGACAACTGGAGAACCGCTTCTTGGCCAACCTTGGATTGCTTGCGAACTGTCTTGGCTCCAAGAATCGCATCGGCCTGAATGAAATCTCTCACACTCATCTGGGCAGAAGTGTACTGTCCACGCAACATGCCAAAGTGCCATTCCAGCGGCAGCTCACACATCTTCCAGGGTTTGAAAGCGTATCCATCTGGCAAAGAGGCTGCAACGATGGCGACACAGCCAACCAAGTTCTTGAGATTTCGAATTGTGGCGGAGTCAAAGAAAAGGCTTCCACGCTTGACTCCAAGATCTTTTTCCCGTTCAAGGGACATCATTCGTCCAAGATCAAGCAATATGTGCGTGCACAGCGCATTTTCCAGCCGAGTTTCCAAACTCAGTTTTCGGTGCATCACTGCGCTCTGCAACAAGCTCAAGACACAGTTTGTCAACAGTGCGCCTCGCAGGCACCAAGGAATGCTTGCATCCGCTGCATTCACTGCGTCTGGTTGGATGTGAACGGTGTGCCATGGGTTCAGCAGCATAGCCGCCTGAGCATCGCTCTGCCCGTCATAGCCACAATAGGCTGAGGGCATCATGCCCAGATCTCGGCTGCCACTCATATCGCACCAGAATGTTCCAAAGCAAATGGTGCGGGCGTGACTTCCTTGGCGCAGCAAAGATAGCCAAGGTGCAAATGCCACTAATTCTCTGCCTACGAGATCGAATTTTGCGAGAAAATATGCAGGATAAAATTCAGGTAGGAAACATCTAGGGCAAACTGATGCGCTCAAAGTCTTGGGGCCCCTGATTTTATACAGTCTCTATTTCAACAGCTGTTGTTGTGGGACCCAACCTCCAGACCAAACTGA